GCGCGGGGGCCTGCCGTCCCCTTCCCAGCAGCAGCGCCGGAGGCCGAGGGTTTGCTCAGCCCCCCCATGGCACCAGGCCTCCGCCGCGGCTGGCCAGGCTCATCCGCGTTCAGCAGCCACCTTCAGAGGCCGTGGAGCAACCGTGTCTCCCTTGGAGGGCAATGTACGTAGACACAGCACCTCGCCCAGGCAGTGCAGGCAGAGCCCATTTATTTTGACTTTGACCACCACTTTGGTAGGACATCAGGTCCGTCCCCACGCTTTGTCAGGGAAGTAGCTTGCTCTTCACGTAACAATCCCCTTGAAAACAGGCCAGATATCTGTGCGTGTGCCACTCTTCTGCATTTTGTTCAGCTTTGCTTTAAGTTTTTTTATACCATCTGCATGCTCGTCGCATGACAAGTGCTCCACGCACCAGTGGCTCCGTGCAATGAAGCCCTCTGCGACAGCTAACCTGAATGTCAGCCCCGCGCATTATGCTGTTTCCCGGGCGACAAACATCTCTGATATTCCTACAGGCTCCTCATCCTCATGCCTCACTCTTTTTCATGCAACCTGTATCATCATTTTCATCAGCAGCGCCAGGCTGCTCCCCAGGGAGGGCGTGGGGCAGGCGCTGGAGCACAGCACTGAGCATTCGAGGACGCAGATATTAATTCCTGTCCCAGCCATGGATTCATCAGGGCCATGGTCCCCACTATGTTTGCTCACTGCTTTGTCATTCACGGCAGCCCCAAAATTGCCAGGTCTGAAGGTCACTGCACAGTGCTGCACGCATGTCCAGGGCAGTGAGGGATCTCATGCCTGTGCCCCAGCTAATTCACACTGACAAAGAAACCAGCATGGGACATGAATGGATGGATAACCATCTCCAGCAGAGGAAAATGCCGAGACAACTAAGTGCTATAGCAATTTGTATCCTCTCTTTGATCTCAGCTGTATCATTGTACTGCATATAGAAAGCAAAGAGTAGAACAACAAACCTTTCTGCTAAGCCAATAACTTTCTCAAATTCATTTTCCTGCTCTGTAATGGAAACAAAAGCTCAAAGCCCAGCCTGCATTAATGAAAAAACAAACAGAAGCAGAAGCTCATTAGTGATGAAAGTTGCATTTCCATCTAACCATTTATTTGTTTCTGCTTCTAAAGAGCCTATCTATGCATTCCATAGGAGCCTGTTGGAAGCACCTTCAGTAAAAGTATTTAGTCAATTTGTGTCAACTCTTATCACAATAAACAGCAAGATTAAAGACTGTATCATCTACTTGGCCTCATCACCACCTCCTCACTTGTTCCCATGTTAAAATCCTGGAAAAACAAATAATCCTCACAGTACGCCCCACTGTTCAACAGACTCCTGCCCTGCTAGTCCATGACTACCACAAGACCCAGAACAAGGGCCCTCAGTGAGGATGCTCCACCTCTGTCCCTCTAACACCATCTGACCGAGCACAGATGGCGCGAAGGAGCCTCGGCTGTTGCTCCTGAACTCAGAGGTGATTTCCAGGACCAAAGAAGTCCTAATGACTTACGCTGAACCTTGTAGCAGCTATTACACCCATCCCACCCTTGCAAGTCACTTGGCTTTCACTCAACATTACCTCGGCTTGTTCCCTGTGAGTCATGCAAACAGCTTGGCAGCGGTGGTCAAAGGGCAGCTGACACCAGCCAGCCGAGCTGGTGCAACTCCCGTGTCCTTCCGGCACCTACTCAAGGTGCTCATTGAACCAGGAAGATGCAAAGCGCCTCAAGCGTGATTTCGTAGCATATGCACTGAACCATTATTTTGTCTCTTTTCACAGGCATTCAATTTTAGAAGCTTTCTAGGTCTCCCTCACCTCAGCCCATGGAAAGCACCTTCATCTTGTTGCTGTCATCCTGCTCCTCTGTTTATTTATGGCTTGTCTGGAGTTGTGCATTCCCGTAAGCCCTTGCGCACATGGCAGTCCCCAGTGCACACAGCACATCTGTGTACTACATTTTAAGCCTGGAAAGAACCAAGGGGCAAGGTGCTTTTTTTCTGGCGGGCTGCTGCAGGGGAAAAGAAACTGCCTGTCTGCACCGCCAACGGGGCTGGGTAGCATGGGGGCAGGGGGAGCCTACACTCAAGTGTAGTCAACTCAAGAGCCAGCACAGTATCAGTAATAAAGAGTAACACTGAATAATGAGTGAGGCGCTCTGAAGGTACTGAGGAATTATGTTAAAAAAATCGCAAACCTTTCTTGATTTTTCTATCACATCATGTGCATCCTGCAAGACAGAAGGACATAAGCTGTCATTCAAAGGACAATCAGTTCTGCTGTTTGTAACATCCAAGGGAAAGGCGGTGACCAAAGGCATCGGATAGGAGCTTGAGACTTCTCATATTGCCACAGACCTTCAATGCCATTGGGCAACTTATCTAACTTTTCTGTGCTCTACTTTTCCCAGACACAAAAGCAAGGAAACCCAGCCCCTGCTTTTTCCCAGGGGCGCAGTGAGAGGGAGCTCGCAGGGCTGGTTAGTGCCCCAGGGAAGTTAATAGCATGGCCAAAAGGAAAAGCTGGGTCTCCATTGAATTTCTCTCTCATTTGCCCTCAGTTTTGCTGAAAGCTGAACATGGCATCCAACTAGATTTGCACCAGGTCCTGCCCCCAGCACATCCCTTGCAACTCCGGCATCCAGGGCTCGGATGACCGCAGGGACATGGGCTAGCGCAGACAACCCCAGCGAGCGGCTGCGCCGAGGCTCAGCCTGGACCCCGCCGATGCTTCTAATACCAGCCTTTGAGGGAAAAGAGGGCTTCGCGGCAAAACAATTTGTTTTAAAAAGCCCTTGTTCTCCAGAGCAGCTCCTCCAGGACGGGCTCTGCTCTGCACCACTGCACCCGGGTGTCAACCCAGCACGGCGGGCAGAAATACGGGCTCTCCGGGGAATCCCCCCGTCACGCAGGTAGCACCAGTGAGCCTTTCCAGGTACAGGCACGGGACGTCTACCGAGAGAGAGGAAAGTTTTCCAGCTCATAGGCCACATTTCCTCTCTTCCTTCCCACGCATGCTAGGGCAACTGCCAGGCCTGGGCAAATGCTTTAAGACGTGAAGCTGCTGGTACAAAGAAATAACGATCCCACTGCTGCAGGCAGCTGGAGAAGAGTTAGCAGAAAGAAATTAAGAGCAACTGGAGAGATGATGTTGGTTCTGAGCCTTGTTTTATTTAAAAGATACCAAGATGGAGTGGGACAACACTGCGTTTTCTTTTTCCGGAGCAGTAGACCACTGAAGCCATGACTTAACTCGCCTGCCCCGAAGAGG